CCTGCCGATGCCCCGGACTAGGACGAGGTTTTGGCTGCAATGGGGCTTCCCCTTCTTGGGCTTTTTACCCTCAGGGTCACCCTTTTTAACCTTGCCACTGGCATCAGCCTTCTTGGCTTCAGGTTTCTTCTCCTTAGTGTCCTGCTTTGCAGCTTTTTCACCTGCCATCTTGTATAGTGGGAAAGAACTAAACTCCCTGCTTCCCTATTGAGACTTTTTTGATCTTCCACTTTGTACTGATCTGCCAAGTGACTAGAGAACAGACCTAACCAATCAAGGAGAGACCAGTCAACAAAGAGCACCACTTACAGGCCAGCGCCATGCCTATAGATAAAAGAGCCAGATCCCTTGGGGCTAGCAGATAGTGTCGTTTATCTGGTTTGAGTACCAGATCCAGTGGCTTAAAAATCATCCTGGGCATGTGTGCTGTGCCTAAGATCCCGGGAAGAGATAGGAGAAGAGATTGCTGTGTGACCATCCTTCCCGGGGAGTGAATTTTTTTTTTTACTTTCCCTCCTACTGTCACTGTCTCTGTCTCTCTTTCTCGCTCTCTCTCTCCCTGGCAAACGCATATGCCCTAAAGCAAAAACCAACTAAAGAAAGGGGGAAAAGAAAGCCAGATCATATGTGGCCAACAACAGTTTGAATCCCAATCTCAGCAGCTTGAAAACCATGCTAGGGGTGCCCAGTAGATGGCATGATGGTTAAGGCTCTGGGTTCCCACATGGCTGACCATGGTTCAAGTCTCAGACTTGGCTGCTTGAAAATCAAACTAGACACATGTGCATGCATGCCCAAAGTCCCAGGAGGAGAATGGAGAAAGGGTCATGGCATGGCCATTCCCCCCTGGCAGAGGTGATTTCTCACTGTCCCTCTCACTGTCTGGCTTTTCTTATCCCCACCCCACCCTTGCCCCCTTGGCATATGTACACACCTTATGGGAAAAACCTTATAAAACAAAACAAAACAACACACGCTGGACATGTGTTCAAGTGTGCCAAAAAATCCAATAAAGAAATGGAGAAGGAATTGTGACGTCACCACAGGGGTGTTCTTTCTCTTTGTCGTGCTCTCTCTGTCTCTCTGTCTCTCTGTCTCTCTCACACACATACATGCCCTCTGTCAATTTTTTTTCAGAAGGGCCAGCTCCATGGCCTGGGTGTTAAAGCAACCAGATCCTACCTGCCCGACCCCAAGACTTGAGTCTTGGACCTGGCAACTTGGGAAACACACCAGGCATGTATGTGTGTGTGTATGTGCCCCAGATCCAGGAGGAAGAATTAGAGAAGGGATTGCAATGTAACCATTCCTCGTGGAGGAGTACTTCCCCCCCACATACACCCTCTCCATCTTTCTCTGGAGAGTGCACATATCCTTTGGAAAAAAAAATTTTTTTGGAGAGGTTTTTGCCATAGGGCACATGCGCTCGCCAGAAAGAGAGAGACAGAGAGATAGACAACGAGAAATCACCCCCCAGGGAGATGGCTATGCCACAATCCCTTCTCCTCCGTTCTCCTCCCGGGATCTTAGGCACGTATGCACACGCGCCCAGTGTGAGTTTTAAGCCACCAAGTCCAGGACTCGAACCGCGGTCAACTACATGGGAGTTCAGCAACAAAGCCATTATGCTAACTGCTGGTCCCAGGAATTTTTTTTTTTTTTTTTAAATAAAAGAAAGAGGGACCAGCAGATGGTGTAATAGTTATGTTGGTGGATTCCCATTAGTCAGTCGACCACAGTTCAAGTCCCAGACCTGGTGGCTTAAAATGCTTGCGGGGCACATGTGTGTGCGTACCCAAAATCCTAAAAGGAGAATGGAGGAGGGGTTGCAGTGTGGTCATCGCCCCTGGGGGCTGATTTCTCCCCTTCTGTCTCTCTGTCTCTCTGGTGAGCGCACACGCCCTGTAGCAAAAATCTCTCTTTTAAAATTCTATATATAGAAGAAAGAGGAATGCAGTGGGGTCCTACAGTCGCCACGAAATGGTGTAGAGCTGGGGAAGGCGGCTAGCCAGGCTGCTGCAGTTTTCACATAAAACCTTGACTTGCGTGTGACGCCACCCTCCGCTCGCCTACCCCTTGGAGATGTTCTCACCATGAACTATTCAAGTGGCATGGGGGTGGGGACTTGGGAGATTAAAGAAGATTGGTATTTAAGGGAGTGAGATTTTAGAATGTGACCAGGCAGACTTCCTTAGACCACCCACATCTTGAGGTTTTCTCCCCCTTTTTAGCAAGTAAAAATCTCTTCTCATCTGTTTAACTTTGGAGTTTCTCAGATGGGTGACCTTGCTTCTCTGAGTAGGTTTAGAACTCAAGGACTGGGACCAGCAGTTGGCGTAATGGCTGTATCGCTGGACTCCCATGTAGCTGACTGTGGTTCAAGTCCCGGACCCGGTGGCTTAAACTCATGCCAGGCTTGTGTGCATGTGTGCCCAAGATCCCGAGAGGAGAATGGAGAAGGGATTGTGGCCATACCCCTGGGGGTGATTTCTCGCTTTCTGTCTCTGTCTTTCTGGCAAGTGCACACGCCCTATAGCAAAAACCTCTCCAAAAAAACAAACAAACAAAAAAGAACTCGAGGACCTCATGGTGCCTTCTAGGGCCCAGCTTTGTACACAGGAGGAAGAATTTCAGACCCCAATGTTCCTACTCCCTTTCGCCCGCTCCTGCTCATCCCTGGATCACTGAAATTTTACTTCAAAGCGCAACCAGAGCCCTTCTGATTACCAGAGCTCTGTCAGAAACCCCAGAGGTCATGAACATCGGCGACTTTCTGGTGCTTTGGGTATCACCTGCAGGAAGCACCAGGCAGCTGGTTACACATAGTGACTGCCGGGCAAGCCTGGTGATTGAGGTGGGCCGGGGGCGGTAGGGGTGAAAGGAGATGCACCCAGAGCCACTCTCGTCAGTACCGTCCTCCCTTCTGCAGAATTTCGGAGTGCATGGACAGCGAGGCCGAGACGGTCATGCAGCTCCGAAATGAGCTGAGGGACAAGGAGATGAAGTTGACGGACATCCGCCTGGAGGCGCTCAGCTCTGCCCACCAGCTCGACCAGCTCCGCGAGGCCATGAACAGAATGCAGGTGAGCACTCAGACGCCGAGGCTTTCGAGGTCTTTCCAAAGGCCAGTTCCCCGAAAATGCAGGCCCGTCCCTGCCCGAGATGTCTCACTGTACAGCGGAGGCTGCAAACGTGCTCCTCTCTGCAGCGGCATTACTCACCTTGGCTGAGGTGACCACCTGCTTCCTGCAGGGACTCAAGGAACCTTCTAGAAAAGGCCAGTTTGCGCTACATTCACCTAGCGAGTGAGTTTCTCTCTTCCTCTCTACAGAGTGAAATTGAGAAGCTGAAAGCTGAGAATGACCGGCTGAAGTCAGAGTCCCAAGGCAGCGGCTGCAGCCGGGCCCCCTCCCAAGTGTCCATCTCTGCCTCTCCGAGGCAGTCCATGGGCCTCTCTCAGCACAGCCTGAACCTCACTGAGTCAACCAGCCTGGGTGAGTGGCGCACAGGGCCCAGGGGCAGGATCGGACTGGCGGTTGGCGCTCTGGTCTCCAAGTAAGAACCCCAAGATAAGCAGATCAACAGATCAAATGGAGAGGCGACAGGCGTGTGTGCACCTGGGGTGCGTGTGTGTGTCTGGCTGTGCGTCTGCTACCCACATGAGCCAGCCGTTAGATTGCTCTCATGCTTCGCTCCAGCGTCCCAAGTTCTCCAAGCCCTGAGCTTGGAGCCTCTCGCCCACCATGCTGAGTTCTGTTTGATCCATTTAAGAGGCTGACCTGCAGGCTGAATGCTCCTTCCAACCCCACAGTGGCAGGTCCCAGCCGGGGCAGGGGCTGGGTCTGTGATCGCCCCGCCTTCGGGATGGAGTCCAGGCTGGCGCGCTCATCCGTGAACGGTCTGGGTTTTCTTTGTAAGCACATCGAGGCTGACGCTTTTATTTTTTATCCATGATGCTGCTGTTGCCATTGTTTTGGTTCAGTCTCTCCCCTGCACTTCCATCTGGCAAGGCGCGTGGCCAGCCCGCTGGTTCCCTGGTTGACCCACCATTGATTTCTGTGGTTGCATTCTCCATTCCGCCCTCCCCCTTTCCCCGATCCCCCCACACCTCCCCCGCACCCGACACCTGGTTTGTCCCGCTGCTGTGCCTACAAGCAGCGGGGGTGTCAGGAAGCCGGCTTTGCTGTCCCGTGTGCCTAAGGCTGTTGATGTTTTCCATTCGCAGACATGTTGCTGGATGACACTGGTGAATGCTCGGCTCGGAAGGAAGGAGGCAGGCATGTTAAGATAGTTGTCAGCTTTCAGGAGGAAATGAAGTGGAAGGAGGTTAGTCGGATCCCTTTCCCCGCTCTGCCTGTCCCTTCCCCAGGTAGACGTACCTAGCTTAGTGACGCAGTCGTGAAACCGAGTCACCTCAGAGCCTAAGGTGATTTGGAAATACAAGGGGACTTCAAAAAGTTTACAAAAAAGTGAAACTAAAGTACGAATTTATTTTGGTACAAAAGAATTTTGAAATCCATGTGTAGGTTTTTTCCTAATAGGCATTTTCCATGAACTTTTGAAGCCCTCTCACACAACTAACGCTTTTCCTAACTAACTGTAACCCCCGGCAGCGTTTTAACACAATGAACGTTAACAAATTTCCCTTTCTCCTACATTTGAAAGCCTAACAAAGAGTACCAAAAAAGAAAAACATGGTTCCACATTGCATTTGCATGTAGTTACCCAAACACTAACACCCACCAGAAATGGCGTTAGTGAGTTTAGTATATCCCCGAGCACATCAGAGTGGCATTTCCTGTCGGAGGTGCAGAATGAAGCTCTCCAAATTCAGCTGGCCGAGAGCACCAGCTATTGGTGGGCAGAGGCTGCCCGTGAAGTGGACACCGGAGATGGGCACCCACGTCTGTGGGCATGCGGGAGACTAGACGTGGAACTGGTGCCACATCCTGACTCACTGGCTCCGGGAACCTGCGTTTTCTCAGTATAGATTCTCTTGTCTTCCAGAATCTAGGCACCTTCTAGCCTCTGTACAACTACAGAGGCTATTTCAGAGTGAGAGTGAGGGTTGACAGTGAAAGTCGGCCATTCGTCAGTGATTAAATCCACTGGTGCTCTGAGTAACCATCAGATACTTGGAAAAAGACTTGATGAGTCACATTGCAAGTCTCCTGGAGTTTCCCATTATTTCTTAGCTCGTCAAGCCAATATGCTGTTGCAGTCGCAGACAGTAAGGGAAGCCTCAGTGCCTACCCAAACAAAGCGTCTGCAGCCAGACTTTGTTTGCCATCGGATTCCACTCTGTGGTTGCAGCTTCACTGCTGGGGGGTGAGCCCAGCATTTTGGAGTTGTCAGGACTTTAGCATCATCTCACCTACAAAGACCTAACGGTGGGGCCAGCAGATGGCTTGATAGTTAAGGCACTGGACTCCCACCTGGTTGACTACAGTTTGAGTCCTGGATCTGGTGGCTTGAAAATCACACTGGGCACCTGTGTGTGCATGCTCAAAATCCCAAGAGGAGAGTGGAAGTAAAAGGGATTGCAGCGTGGCCATCTCCCCTGAAGGCTGATTTCTCACTTTCCCTTTGTCTCTCCAGCAAGCACACATGTCATATGGCAAAAAGCCTTACAAAGAATAAAGAAATAAATAAGGACATTAATCAATAGCTCTGTTTTCAGAATGTAGTAGAGTGATGGACTTTCAGAGCGAATGTCATTCATACAACGTTGCTTTTTGTTTGTTTGTTTTGTTTTGTTTTTTTGGAGAGGTTTTTGCTATAGGGCGCGTGCGCTCGCCAGAAAGACAGAGAGACAGAAAGCGAAAAATCACCACCCCCAGGGGCGATGGCCACACCGCAGTCCCTTCTCCTCCATTCTCCTCTCGGGATCTTGGGCA